AATGTTGTTTGTTTTTTCTTAGTCTTCTTCCTTATATATACCCCCATTGTACATTGCAATTTATGAAATATACATCACAAATTAAAGCTATAATTTCTATATGGTATCAGAGCAGGTTCATTTGTAACCTGTCTCTACAATTCTTGCTGCTGCGATTTTTTCTTTCTTTCAAAGTCTAAGCCATGACTGAAGAAAGTTCTGTCAACCATGATAAGGAAACCCGGCACAATCTCTCTCCAAACTCCTCAGACGTTGAGGTTAACACCAATCAACGTTTATGTTCAGTTCTCTTGAACGAGTTCAATTATCTTCCTTGGTCCCGAGCTGTTTCACTAGCTCTCGGAGGCAAAGGGAAGTTAGGGTTTGTAAATGGAAGTGTGGAAGCTCCAGATCGTTCTTCCTCTACATACAATGCATGGCTCTGCAAAGATCAACTTGTCATGTCCTTGCTGCTCAACACCATGGAGAAACATGTTGCTGAAATTTTTAGCTACTCCAATTCCGCCCATGATCTTTGGAAAGCTTTGCAGGATATGTATGGAAATCAGAACAACTATGCACGGGTCTTCCAATTAAAGAAGGACATTGCCAGTGCTCAACAAGAAGGGAAAGCATTTGTTCAACACCTTGGGAGTCTCAAAGCCATGTGGAATGAGTTGGATGTATATCTCCCTCATACCACAGATCCTACCATTCTCCTAAAACGAGCTGAGGAAGACAAAATTTATCAGCTGTTAGGGAGTCTGAGCTCTGAGTACGAGGACCTAAGGCGTCACATCTTGATGAGTCAAGACCTGCCTACCTTCAACAATGTTTGTGCAACTATCCAACGAGAAGAAGCAAGGAAGAAGGTTATGAATGTTGATCACAATCCTAGATTAACGGAGACTCGGGCATATGCATCAAATTACAAGAACTCAGAAGCCAAGGTATACAAGGGAAGAAACACACATCTAAAATGCAAATATTGCAATGGTGTTGGTCATGAGGAAGACAAGTGTTGGGAACTTCATCCTGAACTCAAGCCTAAGTTCAGCAAAGATGGAAGGATGATACCAAGGTCCTCACAACAATTTCAACCTCATTTCAAGGCAAAACTTGCTAATGCTCAAGCTCCTACTATCTCACAAGGATCCATGGAGTTCACTGCCAATCCATTGTCATTGATCAATGAATTTGCAGCTTACCTACAAAGTAAGGGGCACGGAGGAGGCTCACATGGTCAAGGCAATGAAGAGGGTAGTCACACAGCTATGTTGGGACAATTTGCCGGATTTCTTGCTGGAAATGAGAAAGTTCCAAAGGGAGAAGCATCAGGTATACTTAAAGCCTTTACTACTGCCCTATTAACTAGTACTGAAACTGATTGTTGGATAATTGATTCAGGCGCCACAGATCATATGACAAACAAAGTTACAAATTTACATCATTTTAAAAAATTTTCAAGCCCCTCACATGTGTCTGTTGCAAATGGAAAAAATGTCTTAGTTTTGGGAAAAGGAGAAATAAACTTACTCTCTCAAAAAACACCTTCCACTGCCCTCTATGTACCAACCTTTCCTTTTCAACTTTTGTCAATTGGAAAGATCACCAACACCCTAAACTGCCGTGCTATTTTCTCACCAAATAAAGTGATGTTTCAGGATGTTCTCACCATGAAGATGATTGGTGAAGGGGTCTTCATAAATGGACTTTACTACCTGTGCAAGAATGCATGTTTCCCTCAGGCTCTTCAAGCTCAATCAAAGTCCATAGATGAAAACCAACTTTGGCATAGGAGATTAGCTCACCCCTCTGAACTTGTCTTGTCGAAACTGTTTCCAAATTTTTGTAACCCTTATCCTACTTGTGATACTTGTCAATTTTCTAAGTTTACTAGGCTACCTTTTGGTAATTCAATGTCTAGGACAAGTAAACCTTTTGAAATGGTACACACCGATGTATGGGGACCTGCAACTGAATCAATGGAAGGTTTTAAATATTTTGTTCTATTTGTTGATGATTTCTCTCGAACAAGTTTTCTATATCTTATGAAATCAAAAAGTGAAGTCCCTACCATTTTCAAAGACTTTCACATGCATGTTAAAACGCAATTTCAATCAAACATTAAGGTTTTAAGGTCAGATAATGGCACTGAATTTCTATCCAACAATATGCTTCAATACATAAGTTCTCAGGGTATCATACATCAAACCAGCTGTGTGGGGACTCCCCAACAAAATGGAGTAGCCGAGAGGAAAAATAGAGATCTCTTGGAAAAAACTCGTGCTCTCATGGTTCACATGCACGTTCCAAAGAAATTTTGGTCGTTTGCCATCCTTACTGCCACTTATCTCATCAATCGACTTCCAAGTCGTGTGCTAGGGTTTAAATCTCCATATGAAGTTCTTAAGGGGAGGAAAATAGATTTGACACATCTCAAGGTGTTTGGTTGTGTGTGTTTTGTTCACATCCAAACCTTGAACCGTGACAAACTAGATGCCAGGGCAACCAAGTGTGTGTTTATGGGATACTCGACCACTCAAAAGGGATACAAGTGCTTCAATCCAGTCACTAAGAAGTGCACAGTTTCAAGAGATGTGAAGTTCGAAGAAGACTATCCCTATTTTACAAGTCAGGGGGAGGATTTAGTTGACATGTTCCCACTTCCTCAAAACTTTAATTATCCGATGTTGGAAAATAGATCAGTCAGTGTAAGTCCAGATTGTGAAGAAGTTCAAACTGACCAAATTACTGCCAGTGAGAGTGAAGACGAGCCCTACTCTGATCATTCTCCGCCCTCTACAGAGTCTCAGGTGATTAAAAGAAATCCTCCTCGAATCAGAAAACCTCCAGTTAGGTTGCAGGACTATGTTACATATGCCTCACGACATCCAATCAATGAATGTATCAGCTTTAGTAAGTTCTCAACATCTCATGCTACATTTCTCAGTGAAATTGATAAGCACTATGAACCAAGAAGCTTTCAAGAAGCTCTTCTTCTCCCACAATGGAACCAAGCCATGAAAGAAGAGCTTCGTGCACTGGAAGAGAATTGCACCTGGAGCCTAGTTCAACTACCACCAGGAAAGAAGGCTGTTGGAAGTCGTTGGATTTACAAGACTAAATTCAAAGCTGATGGATCTATCGAGAGACACAAGGCTAGACTTGTTGCTCGAGGTTTCACCCAAACCTTTGGTGTAGATTATAAGGAAACATTTGCACCGGTGGCCAAGATGAACTCAGTCAGGGTTTTACTGTCAGTTGCAATCAATTGTGGGTGGTCACTCTACCAAATGGACGTGAAGAATGCTTTCCTTCACGGCGAGCTGCAGGAAGAAGTGTATATGCAACCTCCTCCAGGCTATGATGGTATTAAAGGCAACATGGTTTGTAAATTGCACAAGGCAATATACGGATTGAAACAATCACCAAGAGCTTGGTATGCCAAGCTCAGTTCTGTTCTGGAAAAGGCTGGATTCATGCGAAGTAATGCTGATTCTTCGCTATTTGTAAGAACTGGCACCAAAGGGAAGTTGGTGGTCCTCATCTACGTTGATGATCTTATCATCACTGGAGATAATACTGTGGAGATTGAGGCACTAAAACTTTCACTACATCAAGTTTTCGCTATCAAGGATTTGGGAAGGTTAAAGTATTTTTTGGGGATCGAAATGGCAACATCTTCAAAAGGACTGTTTCTACATCAACGGAAATATGTATTGGACCTCCTTCAAGAAGCAAAAATGCTTGACTGCAAGCCTGCTATCACTCCTGTTGATTGTAAACTGAAGCTCAGCATAGATGGAGAAGCCATGCATGATGTAAGCTACTATCAACGATTAGTAGGCAAGCTCATATACCTCACTATCACTCGTCCAGATATCACATATGCAGTGAGCTTGGCTAGTCAGTTCATGCACTCTCCCACAGTTGATCACCTTAACCTTGTTAAGAGAATCCTTCGTTATCTTAAGGGTTCAATTGGGCAAGGAATTACAATGCATAACAATCAGTCCACTGTCATTAGTGGCTACACAGATGCAGACTAGGCAGGTAATGCAATTGATAGGAAATCAATCACAGGCTATTGTACATTTGTTGGTGGAAACCTTGTCACATGGAAGAGTAAGAAGCAACAGGTAATTGCTCGTTCCAGCGCAGAGGCTGAGTATCGAGCCATGGCAGCCACTGCTTGTGAACTCATTTGGCTTAAAGGGCTTCTTTCAGACTTAGGGTTTCCTAATTCTACTCCTATGACGCTTATGTGTGATAATCAGGCAGCCATGCACATTGCTGCCAATCCTGTGTTCCATGAAAGAACCAAACATATTGAAGTGGATTGTCATTTCATCCGAGCTCAAGTTCAAACGCAAATCATCCGGACCTTGTTCACACGAAGCCATGATCAACTAGCAGATCTTTTTACAAAGGCACTAGCATCATCTCAGTTTCATCGGTTATTGGGCAAGCTTGGCTCAGTGAACCTCCTCGATCCAGCTTGAGGGGGAGTGTTGAAAATAAATAATGAGTTCCATGTTTTAAGGAATGTTTTATTCCATGTTTTAAGGAATGTTTTATTCCTTGTTTTATTCCATGTTTTAAGGAATGTTTTATTCCTTGTTTTAAGGGGAATGTTGTTTGTTTTTTCTTAGTCTTCTTCCTTATATATACCCCCATTGTACATTGCAATTTATGAAATATACATCACAAATTAAAGCTATAATTTCTATACATCTCCTTTGAAATGGTCATGAAAAGCTTTTATAATGGCCCCTCTGATAATTTGTGATCTTTTGGACAAATGATTTCTTACATTAGTTTATCTAAATTATAAAGCTGAGAATTCAAATTTAATAAGGCGTACTGTTCTAGCAGTATTTAGTTAAACCCTTTAAAGTCGACCCTTTTTTTCAGTTACAAAATTACATCGGTCTCTTTTATTTTCTACTTGCTGGTAAAAAGTAAAAACTTTGAAACGACTTCCAATTTATTTCATTGACCAAAAAGGAATAATTTGGTAAATTTTGGTGAATCACGAATCAGAAAAGAGCAGGTTGGGAGGCTTGGTCTTCTGGTGTCGGTGACTGAGATGGACTTGCCATCGAACCTCCATGGACGCTGAATAAAATACACATCAAACAACCCAGAAGAGATCTTATTGTCCTTGTTTCTTCAACCCCAAATTGTTACTATTTTTTTCTTCATTTTCCCTGTCAATTTCCTCTCTGCTGCTGAAGCCAAAAGCCAGAGTCTTTGGAGTCGGAAAATAAAGCTCAACAATTTTGAACGAATCATCCAACCAATCCACCTTTCGACGTCCCAACCACCACCTTTACCAGATTGCTAAAGAACCCATCTGCCTTCTTGGGGTCATATCCTTCAGGACCCTTCCACGTTTGCTGGGTTGCTGATTTTGCAGCTGAAGAAAGAGAAGGATTGGGGAAAAAAAAATATGAGATTTTGGAAGCTGGGTTTTGCTGGGTTTCTTGTTGCTGCCTTTGTGGTGGGGTTTGGTTCAGGGGAGCATGCCCGCACTGAGAGAATTTCAGGTAGGGGACAGAAAGACTATTTTTTTCGATTTACATTATTTGATTGCTCTTGGGTTTTTGCCATTTTTCGGTTTCGAATTTCATTTTGCTGCCTTTAACAGCTACCTGGGTTTTGATCACTTGAAGTTTTGGTTTTGAATCTTTTGATTGATGGGGTGTTCGTAGGTTTGGTACATTTTATGGATCTGTTATCTAAATTTGATGTTCAATTGGACATATGGAATGTTGGATGTTGATTTAGTTCTTATCATTGTTAATTTCCACGTTGTTCTTAATTTTGGTTTGACAATAATGAGGTTAGTCTCGGAGAAGAGTTTAGTTTTGATCCGCCAATAATCGAAGTTATATACATAGTAAATGCTGGGTTGTTTAGCTGGAATTGTAGCTCCCAGAAGGGCGGCAAATGCATAATAATGCCATTGTGACGATGTTGATGAACTCCAAGGACCAAGAATTACGCCGTTTTGATCCTTTTGGATTTGTTGGATTTGGTCTTTAGAAGTCTGTCTATTGTACGTAGATTCAGAATCTGCTGAGGAATACAAGTGTATGAGAACTTAAGTATGGTTTGTTTGCACCAAATGTAGGTAGTGCTGGTGATGTTTTGGACGATGACCCAGTAGGAAGGTTGAAAGTTTTTGTGTATGAGCTTCCAAGCAAATACAACAAGAAGATTCTTCAGAAGGATCCCAGATGCCTCAACCATATGTTTGCAGCTGAGATCTTTATGCATCGGTTTCTCCTGTCTAGCCCCGTCCGAACCCTTAATCCTGAAGAAGCAGATTGGTTTTATACTCCTGTTTACACCACTTGTGACCTGACCCCCAATGGCCTTCCTTTGCCTTTTAAGTCACCACGGATGATGAGGAGTGCAATACAACTCATTTCTTCGAATTGGCCTTACTGGAACCGGACAGAAGGTGCTGATCACTTTTTTGTAGTGCCTCATGACTTTGGAGCATGTTTTCATTATCAGGTTAGAAGCTTGGTTTGCTTCTTCTTAATTCTCTCATGGAATTCTGACCGTTCGTAATTTGGACCAATTGGAATAATTATGTTAGCTTGTTCCGATATGCCTGTAGAGCTTACTTCTTTCATGATGTAAATTCATGTGTTGTATTTGAGCATGTCAATTATCTGAGTTGGTTCCATGTATAAACTATTGCAGGAAGAGAAGGCGATTGAAAGAGGAATTCTTCGCATGCTCCAACGTGCAACTTTGGTTCAGACTTTTGGGCAAAAGAATCATGTTTGCTTGAAAGAGGGCTCAATAACAGTTCCTCCTTATGCTCCTCCACAGAAGATGCAAACCCACCTAATTCCTGAGAAAACTCCTAGGTCCATCTTTGTTTACTTCCGAGGATTATTTTATGATGTGGGAAATGACCCAGAAGGTGGTTATTATGCAAGGTAATTCTTCCATAACCTATATGTGAATGTTAACAAAAATGGTGTCTAAGTCTCCCATAGTGTTTGAACGCACAAAATGCATCCTTCCATTGGTGGATGAGAGAGGTTGTGCCATTTTATGAGGTTAAACAATGTGACGGCATTTCATTTTCTAAACTAGAAGTTAACTTCTGATAGCTGTTGAAAATAAGAAATGAGAGTTTGGGGTTCTTTGGTTTGCTAGATAACAATAATATGAAAATAGGTCGGGGCAGGAGGTGGTCTAACTTTTTGTACTTTACAGAGGTGCACGAGCAGCGGTGTGGGAGAACTTCAAAGACAATCCGCTTTTTGACATGTCTACCGAGCACCCCACCACATACTATGAGGACATGCAACGAGCAGTCTTTTGTTTATGCCCTCTCGGCTGGGCTCCTTGGAGTCCAAGATTGGTTGAAGCAGTGATTTTTGGCTGCATTCCTGTTATCATAGCAGACGACATTGTTCTACCCTTTGCCGATGCCATCCCTTGGGAAGAGATTGGTGTGTTTGTAGATGAGAATGATGTCCCCAACTTGGACACCATACTCACTTCCATCCCACCTGAACTGATACTGAGAAAGCAGAGATTGCTCGCTAACCCTTCAATGAAGCAAGCCATGTTATTCCCACAACCTGCCGAAGCAGGAGATGCTTTCCATCAAGTTCTCAACGGACTTGCGCGCAAGTTGCCGCACGGCCCTGATGTTTTCTTGAAGCCGGGTGAGAAGATCCTGAACTGGACCGCAGGGCCAGTGGGCGACCTGAAACCATGGTAGCCACTCTGACTTTTTACCTCCTCTTCAGCCAAGCCTCCAAATTTTACTGTAGTAATTTTGTTATAGTTGAGATGCCGATTTTCATGACTGTAAAAATTTGGATTTCGTGAAAAGGTATCAGATTATTGTACACTTTTCTTTTGTAGCGTGACTTGGATTGTTATAATTTCATTGAAAGCATGATGGTGATTGTTCCATCGTTTCATTTGAAGTTTGTGAATCCCACACCAACGAAATACTCGGCTTCATGACTTTGCTGTGCTTACTTATACAGGTTCATTTGAAGTTTGTTTGTTTGTTTTTTTTTTTTTTAATAATAAAAACACTTCTAGAAATAGAACTTATGAACATAAGTACTTTTTAAAAAAGCAAACCAGAACGAGCCCAAAAAATAATAAAGAGGAATGCTAGCCATCTTTTATACTTGCCTTTTCCTACTTAGACCTTCTCACTGAATAGAAGTCATGTTAACTTTGTTTACACCTACGTATATGTATTAAATACCAGATGTCAACCAAATCATTAATATTATCTGTCAAATTTAAATAGGGCATAAGTGAAAAGAGAAGAAACAAAACATAGCTAGCATTCCTGAAAAATAAATTAGAAGAGTCGAGAGGGTGCTACTGGTTGTAACATGTAGTAAGGGAAAGAGATCCTCTTCCGATATTTTCCACTAAGATCATCGGATCAAATGATTCGAATCTTTTACATTTTATCCAACGGCAAAAAAAATATCATAACTTTTAAATGATCAAAACAAGTGAACCGTTGGATGAAATTTGGAAGGTTCAGATCACTTAATCCGATAAAATTGATAGAAGAGATCCTTGTAGTAAGTGTTTGGTATGTGGGGATTACCAAGGCCACGCGACGCCCAACGAGACTCGCACAATTCCAATTCACCTTTTTCGTTCCCACCACGGTCTCTTATCCTCTTCATATCTTCCTCTCATTCCTTCAACTCTACTGTTTCACTCGCTTCCCTGTAGCTCCTACTATCCTACGACATGGCCCTGCAACTGCAGGCACCCACCACAAGAAACCGCCTAGCGCCACCGTCTCCGTTAGCAGCTCCGAAGGGCAATGCCGGCCTCCGACAACCATCCGATAGCTTCGCTCTAAAGTCAACCTTCTTTTCTTCATCACACCACCTCTTATTGCTTTCTCCGAAGCAAAAGCCTCTTGCTTCTTCCTCTGCACCCAAGTTCTCCATGCGCGTCGCCTCCAAAGGAGCCTATATTTGTCGCGATTGCGGGTACCATATTATTACAGTTTTTATTCTTGACATGGCGATATTCTAACTATTCTAATCTATGGGGAGTGAGATTCGAATTTGAGTTTTTTTTGCTGTTCTTTAATCTTGATCGTCATGATGATGCAGGTATATATACAACGACAGAACTCCCTTTGAGAAGTTACCTGACAAGTATTTCTGCCCTGGTAAAAATTAAGCACTTCATTTTTTTACACGACCTACATTTCACCATCAAATTTCAAAGCTTTTCATTTGTACAAATGATTAAACTCATGTAAGTAATCTGTGGTTTGCAGTTTGTGGTGCTCCGAAACGGAGGTTTAGGGCATACCAGCCTCCGGTGACCAAAGACGCCAACAAGAAGGATGTCCGGAAGGAACGAAAAGCGCAGTTGCAGAGAGAAGAAGCAATCGGGAAGGCACTGCCTATAGCTGTCGTTGTCGGAGTTGTGGCACTTGTTGGATTATACTTCTACATCAACGCCGGCTTTCAGGGATAGATCAGAGTATTAGATTCTGTAACCTCAAATGTATTGAACACAATCATTTGTATAATTTCATTCGATGTGTAGAACAAATCTTTCTGTTGAATTTTACTTCCGTCGCGTCAGCAATTGAATTCACAATAAGAACAAAAAGGATCTACGCAAAAAATTGGCGTCTCCGGAAAGTAGGATGAACTCATGGGAATCGATAGTAGCACAGCCGTGAATTCCTTCAAATATCGAATGCAGTAAGAACTCATCAAATAAAAATGCAATCGCACCGCCAACACATACGGATGTATTCCTCAACATGTAAGCAACGTCTGCATGTGCTAGTCGGGTTTTCATACACCGGCACAGTGGCAGATACCAAAATTTCGCCTGAAACCTAAATTACGATATTCAGTAAACGAGAAGAGCGAGAGAAAGATGCAAGCTGAAACGAAATACCATTAACAGAGTTGAGCTACAAAAAATTTGAGCATTTACATAGGATGGTTACAGGTATCAAGTGATTATTCTTGCAAAACAAAAGAACCCTCTATTCTTTTCTCCATAGACTGCTGAATAGGAAAATTTAAAGAAGAGAACATGTCGTTGGTACTAGAGCCCGGGGCAGGCTTGAATTCGTACGGACCTTCCTTTGGACCCCAAACCTGTAACAATACAAAGCACTTTGACTTACTCCCCGGAAAACTACCACATTACAGCATCCAGTAAGGGGATTATAGAGTGACTAAGAGGATAAACTGACCTGATTTCCATCACCATCAAATCCCCTATCCCAGGCATGTATCTCATTATTTTTATGAATTGCAAGTTCCGAAGTACAGTATGCTGCTCCATTCTGTAACAAACGGGGAAAAACGATATATCACTGAATAACAGTCATTTGATTCATAGCAGTTTCAACTATCAAGTAACCAACTGTTATCCATGGACTCGTAACAAGGTCTTAACAAAAGGAAAAAATGACCAAGACTAAAAGAATTACCCATAAATTAGGAAAGCTGTCAGGCGGAGTTGAACCTTCATATAAGCAGCGTTTCCCACGCTCACAACGTTTCAGATGAATTGTTGTCAAATGCTCTGCAATGTCCTGCGGACAGAGAGAAGTTTGAATAAAAACATTGAAAGCATATCCATAAATGTTTTCAAATGGTTAAATATTGGACTATCTAATTCCCGGATGAAGTAGCAACTCCAGAGCTTTCTTTAAGTGCTTACTCACAAGCTTGTGCCTGAAGCCTTACAGGCAAGGTTATAATATCAACGGTCCCTGGTAATGACTCCTAAGTTTTCACTAAAAGATCATCTTAGATTACATTTTTAAATAAGATTAGTTCTCTGAAAGGTTCAATGCTAAAGAAGTTATATCAATGTGAAGTTAGCAAGTTGAAAGTCGTCTATAACCTAAAATTAGTATGTTCTACAAGATAACTATAAACTGCATTTGTAAGCCACAATAATGTGTTTGATACCAGAAAATCTAAAAGCAAGCATTGACAAGCAAAGATTATGATTTTGATGCGAACAGACTAACCCCGATAACTTCTTCAGGAAGTGGTCGCTGGTCTTTTGAGCGATCGCAGAAATTCTTGTACTCCTCTGCATCTCTGATTGCATATGAGCTTAGCTGCTCATTAATAGAAATTTCAATATATTAGAACCTCAAAGAATCCCGAGATACATCTCGCACACTCTAGTTTCATGCTAGTGCATTGAGTAAAAGAGAGCTAGTAACAATTTACTTAGTAAATACTCTCTGAAAAGAGAAGTTCACATACAGATTATCATTACATTAACACGCTCTTCAAACTAAACTGCAAAACCGATTATACACCCACCTCGACATCACATTTCAATTCTTTCGGGCAAGGCTTCACCATATAGAATCTCTGCAACCAGGAAACTCTAACAATTACTCAAAAGAACAAAACAATGGGCAAGTAAGTTTGCCAAGAATTGACATTTGAAGGCATGAACATACTTGTCGAAACGGCTTCTGAGGAGTCCTCCAAAAAGCCTACCAAAACCCCACAAATTCAAGCTTAAATTCAACCCAAAAAAAACCAAACTTTACAGAAAAAAATTTAATGAATTTTGCATGGAACAATAAGCTTACTTGTTCAAAGTACAAAACATTAGAACCATCCACCATTTCAGCTGCTGGGCAAGTTACCATTCTGCAAGAATATCAAGAAATCATGTAAAATTCAACCACAAAACCCTTCAAACAAAAAAACCCAATTGAATTGAACACGAAAGGAACGAAGAATTGTGGTCCAATTGGGTTTTGGGGACCCACCTGATGTTGAAGTAGTGGTCAGGATCTCTGGCCGCTTGGTCTTTGGAGAACTTCTCGCCGGAGAGAGAACGGGAAACGAGGCGGGCGTGGTCCCACCGGGTGGTGGACTTGGTGAGCCGCTTCAGCAGCAGAGCTCCGCCTATCATCACCAGCGTTTTCACCAGCAGCCCGCGAGCCACGCTCCATCCTCCCGCGGAATCGGAGCTCCCGCTACCGGGCTCCGACCCAATTACCATTTCCTTTATTACAATCTCAATCACGCGGTGTGTTTACTGCTACTGCAACTAGTACCATTTCGATTGAATTCAGCCACACCCCACAAATCTAGGGATAATCCTAAAAACACCTTTTTGTTTTTGCTACTTCTGCATTTCTCTGTATTTGAAATTGAAATGTGAAAATTATAGAACTGGAAATTGATCAAATGGGTTGGGTCGGGTCGGGTCGAATCGCTTTCGGTTCGGTTCATCCAGACCGTTTATCTGGATGTAGTAAAGCTAACATCGGCCGTCGGCTTTGTTTCAGGAGCTTACCAATGATTGCCACGTTGCCGTCACCATTCCGTCCAAAGAAATTATTAAGTGACGTAGAAGTTTCATCTTGCAAAATAAATTTGCTCACCCTTCTTAAGTGGTTGTAATGAAAATCATTTATTTATTATTATTAAAGTTTCGAGATTTGTATAGTGAATAAATATAAATATTAAAATTTAAACTCATTCAACGATAATAAATAAAATTCGATAAAAAAAAAAATGATAATAAATAAGAAGATGATCATTACCACTAGTTAAGAGCATTTCAACATATATTCTCTTACCAGATAGTTTAGTACGTCATATTTTTGGACTCTCAATCTCAACTATTGTGAGAGAGCTACCCTACTAAAATATCCTTCCAATTTGACACTACTAAACATTAACAGTCTAATTGAATAAATAGTTATCGTGGTAATAGAGTACTTGGAAAATGGCCCATGTGGTAAAAAAGAAGTTGAATTTAAACCTTTGTGGTAAAATCTGTTAGGAATCAAGCCCAAAATCAAAATTTTCTGTAGTTTCTCCATTAGGATTTTAAGTCTCTACATTTAGGCTTTATACATTTACTTACATTTCGCTACATCTGAGTCATTATGTACCGTTATGTTTTGTTCCCGTTCATCAGTTGTTGCTTTTGTGCATCTTCACCGTGTCCTTAGCCCGCTGCTCGACTAGCGGTCTTTTAGAACCTTAGTATTTCTTTGTCGATAATGCACCAGCATCAATAAAATACTATAGGGAGCAAAAAATCAAACTTGAAACCTCAAATGCATAGTTAAATACTCTTAACTAACTAAGCTACAAGCACTTGTTGCTAGTACATTTTCTTACCTACAATGATATTTATATTATGGAGGGTATATCGACAGGCAATTCCTATTCGTTACAAGAACTTGTTTAAACTGGTTTTATTTGAAAATTTCGAAGGCTACAACTCAACTCCAGAAGCAAAGAACCAAAAGAATAATTCAGTTTTCTAATAACTGCACCATTTGATTACACAATTTATTTCCTTTCATTCATTCTGAAAACGCATGCCAAAGTGTATCGACCATATTATCAATGTGTTACATTGTAAAATGAGAATCATACCTCTTGGGTTTATTGAATCCGCCGGTGTTTAACTTAAGACTCGGCATTGCAACTTCTAATTGGCATTTTTCATCGCTAACTGATTACACAAATCAACACACTACATAGAAATTTAACTTGAAAAGGTGATGGCAGAGCTACTGGTTCCCGGTTAAAGGGCCACCCTGGCTTTTCTTTATATCATCCCACCCTCTAACCCATGGCTGGCCAGGTGTTGCTCGTGTCTCGGGAGAGGCATAGCTGTTCAGGTTGTTCATGATCTTGTTGCGCACTGCAGTAAAAACCTACAAAAACAGATCATTTGAATGAAAACGGTGTCTATGGAGAATATAGCAACAAATGGAATTTGAACATTCAGATATCACTTTCTCACAGGATTAGTTTGGAGTGCTTCAGGGGGTTGCTCCTGGCCACTTAACCACTTCCACAGATCTGGGTTTTCCTGTAGAAGGGAAAATGATATCAGTATGGCAAATGAAAAATCAAGCAAAAGTTTCTCCCTTGTCATTCGACTTTGCAATTTGCGTAGTATCAATTCTAGAAAAACCGTACATCTTGCCTCCATCCATGCTTACATCAAGTGCATGAATAGGGAACTGACCATGCTCTAAGTGCTAAGTTCTGAGGTTAACAGGAAACATAGCATTTACTTACACACTCTAAATCTTTGTTATTTCAACTGTTGGTTGATGAAAATCCAGGGATTTAAAACATTTTATGTTTCTTGATATTTGATTTCAAGTGCTTGAAAACTCAACCGAAAATGCAAAGCCTCTTTTATTCACAAGTGGAACAACTATTTATTGCCAACATACATCACAAAACTGAGTGAGAAACAGTGAACAAGAAAGCTCTAAATAACTGAAGAAGCTAGCGCCATCACAAATAGTGTGCTGGTCACCCTACTCTTGAAAGCACCACATCCCTATATGTCAGTTAAACGCTCAGATGGATAACAAATATAATTCCGACATCAAATAGGGATGACCTTATATACACTGCTAACTTATGCTGTGAACAACCATGAACAAACACATCTGAGCTGGTGTTGCCTATGCAACACTTTCAGTTAGTCTACGATGACAATTAACATCAACTCACATTAGGGCTGTTACTATACAAGATTTGAGTCTTAGCAGAATGCCTGTTTAAACTATTTCGCATATATCAGAAACTTATTGGTTAAATTCCAATGAAAAAACAACAAATTCGGCAGTGTTTTCTTTACTAATCACAGCATAAACTATCAAGCATTCGAAAGGGCACCGAAAGCAGAAGATTTTAATGATCAAAGTGGTGATAAGAAATTTACCAGGTCAAGGACATCCACAAGAGATTTAATTCCCTGTTCATCCATGGAATGTATATGCTCCTCCACCCACTTCCCCAGAACCAAATCCAGCTCCAAAAACCCTCTCTGCTTGCTCCTGTATATCAATCTGTTCCACAACCCAAACCAATTCTTGTCTCAGAAGCAACAAAACCAATTATTTTTGGTTATGTATAGAGGTAACTACGCGACAAAAAACTGAAAACGAAACGGTTATAGAAGAATTAGTGACCTGTTGAACAACCGCCTTTTGCTCTCTTGGTTGGAGAGGTCGATATCCAGATTGCTGCCATTGTTAGCGGAATAACAACGCTGAAACAAACCGTATCCGAATTGAGGCCTGGAAAATGAAATCACACCCCAACAAAAATCAGGGCCAATTCACTCCACACAAAGCCACCGCCTTTACGAATAGCCATTGCAAATGAGGGAGAAGGGAATACCTGAGATGGGTTTCGGCGGGAGAGATGGAAGCGGTGGATTTGAGAGCTCGGTGGAGGCTGATCAAGCTTCTTCTCAAGCTTCCCATGTTTTCCCTTCTTTTTTCGACTGCGTTCGCAGAAAACAACGGAAGGGAAGAGAGAGGAGTCGAGAAATGATACAATTTGTGGGGTTTAAATTAGATCAACAATGAAAAGGGCCTGCCCGCCCCGAGGCATCGTGGCCTTTTTACGTCCATATGCTTGTGAGTTGTGGCGTCAATTCAGAAAAGGCAAGGTACCTAAAAGGAGATGTTTGGCTTTGATATTTTACTTTCTAAATTATTATGACTAATTTATTGTATAATTTAGGTTAAAATTTTCGTTTTTAGATTTAGCAGCATTTGTTTAGACCTTTTTTTTTTTTTTTTAGTAATTCTAAATTAAAACTTTTGAACATTTGATTGAAATTTTTTAATAACATTGCTTTTAACTAAAACTATTTACTGCCACTTAGTACTACAGTTTAGTGATATTTCTTTTCATTTGTATGTGAGAGGTCTCAGGTTCAAATTTCGCCATAGACGAACTTGAACCACATTATTGCTACGCTCATAGTAAAGATAAGGCTACATCTTTATAAACTCCTAATTAATTTTCAATTTAAAGCATTTCTAAAATAAAATTTGAATAAGTTTGTATTCATTAGTTTTTTATAATAAAAAATTCAATTATTTATTAAAATTTTTTTTAGTCATTCATATAATTTTTCAATTTTTTTAATTTTAAATGTGTTTGTACCATACTTGATCAATCCCGAAACTACTAAGCACCGGTCAACTTCATACCTTCAAGGATCCATTGAGAGGTTCATGGTGAGACACCCTTGCCGAAGCATAAGAGTTTCCTTCTGACCAGGAAGCCAATCACGGCACGACACATGTCAAGGTTAGAATAAAACTCATAGAGTCACACATTGACCGCGGACAAAAGTTAGAGACTCTCCTCAACTATAAAAGAAGATCATTCTCCTACAATGAATCCCTAATGTCATTATTATACTTAAACTAGTCATTAAAACTCACTAATGATGATTATGCTTGAACATATTTATTTGTGTAAACCCTTCACTATTAATAAGAACTCCTCTACTCCGTAGATGTAGCCAAACTTAGGGTGAATCATGTACATCTTGTGTTTCCTTCCCTATCTCTATCTCTTTACATATTTATCCTCACTAGTGATCGAAGCAACCAAGTGAAGGTCACAAACTTGACACTTTACATTGTTCCAAAGTCTTCACTGATTTTGTACATCAACAAAATGTAACTATTCTTAAAATATACCAATTTGTTATATGGAAATGTATCATTTTTTTAATATAAGATGTAACTTCTTTGTTTTTTTATATATAAAACCCATTCAATTTTTTTTCTAATCCATTTTAAACTTATATGTGTACATTTTATTTTGTTGATTTGAGAATGTATTCGTGTCAAGTTTAATAAAAGAAATTTACTAATACTATTAAGCCTATTTTTTTTTATTTGCAGCTTTGAAGAATGTACCCATGTTTTAGTACGATAAATTTTTTATAATTTTGATGATTGTACCTATGCTTATATTTATAAACACAACGTATTGGAGAATATAATTTATATTTTATTATTTTTAGTCCCACAAATTATGGGTTTTATTTAAAGTGTCACATCCCGGCCCGGGACAGATCACTTCCCGGGCCCGCTTCCACTACCGTAGCACGATATTGTCCGCTTTGGGCTTACCATTCCCTCACGGTTTTGTTTTTGGGAACTCACGAGCAACTTCCCAGAGGGTCACCCATCCTGGGAGTGCTCTAGCCCTCTTCTCGCTTAACTTCGGAGTTCCTACGGAACCCGAAGCCAGTGAGCTCCCAAAAGGCCTCATGCTAGGTAGGATGGGAATATACATTTAAGGATCAGTCCCCTGGGCGATGTGGGATGTCACAATCCACCCCCCTTAGGGGCCCGACG